CTTTTTCTAAACAGATTTTGTGGCCGCTTTGATGAGGTTGGGCAATAAATCTCTTCTCACTGTAATAGAATAAAGCTTACTAAAATACTAGTTTATAGTCCAAGGGACACGATCAAGTAATTAAGTATAACCTAGGCTGTTAATTAAGCATTGTTTGCCTCGCCAAAATACACATCACAGATCAGGGCAGAGAATTCTGCAATGCAGTGTCTGACCGTCTGTATGGCCTTACTGACCTGCACCACGGTATCACAGGGACATACCATCCACAGGCCAATGGACTTTGTGAACACCAGAATGCTAGCACCCTTACAGCTTTGAGGAAATCAGTCCAAGGCCAACCCAGTGACTGGTATAAACTTCTTGACGCCTTAGCCTACTCCTTCAGAACGCCCAGAAGGCGGGCAACAGGCAGATCTCCCTTTGAGATAATGTTTGGACGCAAGATGACCCTGCCAGTTGATCTACTGCACAACAAACCTGAGGAGGATGACATCTCAGAAGAGGAGGCGCGCAACCTGGAGGAGCAACTTGAATCTGAACAACAGGAAGTCAGCCAAGAGGAGGTTTTCGAGTCAGCAAAGGCCATCCGTGAAGATATGTTCCAAACTGTGTCCCAGAACATTGCCAAGGAGCAAAGCGTCCAGAAGGACTATTTTGATAGAAGACACCAGGCAGGTAAGCCCCTTCAAGTGGGTACCAAGGTTATGAAGCGAAACATGATGCACACCGGCAGGAAGGGTGGCAAAATGGACTACCAATTCATGGGGCCCTACACAATTGTGTCTGTGGATGCCAAGAAATCTAGATACACGCTGATGACTGAAGAGGGTAAAGTACTGGCCCAACAACCTGAAATTGTACCACAACCCAGAGGAAGAGTTCCCCCATCTGGACCTTACAGACGCACCAGCCAACTACAAATCACGTCAACCCCAAAAGAGACCTGCTTCAGTCTTCGCCTCTTCTCAAGAATCAGCACCAGACTCAGCACCCCCCTCATCACAAGAGTCAGCGATTGCTTCTCAAACCTCAGAGCGCACAGAAGGCCAATGTGAAACAACTGCCCCATCAAAACCCAAGCGCGCCAAGGTCTCATTTGCTCCATTCACAGAAGTTTCCACCAAGGAAGCCGACTGGATCAAAGTGATCCCCCCACCTGGGCCTGCTGGACGTACGGAGTTTGAAGACGAGGAGGATGTGGACATGAGCATTGTGATTGGTTGCACAGAGTCTACCGAGTACTTTTTCAATCCCTGCACGACCACTACTGAGAGGAGAGTCCTCTGCGAAAGAATGGGAGGCCTGAGCACCCAAAAGGTCAAGTACTACTGGATGGTGAATGGTCACAAGATTACTGAAACCCTGGTCACTAGGAAGGTGCAAGGGGATGGGAACTGCCTCTTCCGTGCGTTGGCATACCTGATATCTGGTAACCAAAAGGACCACCTGATGGTCAGAGTTGTCATTACAGAAGCGATTGCCAATGCAGGTCCAGGTTCAGTGGTCCAGCAATTCATTGGGCGGGAGCCCGTCTGGAAGTACATCATACCCACCAATATGCCACGGCCATCAGTGTGGGGCACAGAAGTTGAAATATTCACGGCTGCCCAGTTTCTGCAGATGGATATTTACACCTACACATTTGGGCAAGGCACTTCACCCGACCAGGACAAACTCTCCTGGGGTAGATTCCCCTATGTGTCTCCTGCAATAGTGGAGGAACAAACAGCCGCACAGGAGGCCGCTGCAGAGGAGTCGAAGAAACGAGTGGACCAGTGCAAACCATACACGTTCACCAAGGACCAGCCTACACCGCGCGCATTTTATCTGGACAACAGCACCAGGTGTCACTATGCACCAGTGGTTGGATTTAGATGAACGAGTTTACTTTTTTACTTTTTTAAAACTTGTTTTTACTTGTTTATTTTTGCACAAACTCAAGAAGCTCCCCACTGGTATAATTCTACCTAAAATAAGCTTGTATAGTTTTGCATTTTAATTATGTTTGGAAGTAAAAAACGTTTATGAAGAATACAAGGGAAGTGCTTTGATTTCTTTTCTCCTTTCTTTTTTAAAAACTTTTATTTTGATGCTTTTGAAATTTTGAAGTGTGTACTGGAAAGTTACATTGCCAAGTTTTTTGTTGAAGCCTGTGAGCCAAATGTACACATATAAAGCTGCCAAGGATTGTGTCATTTTGTTCTCTAGTTCTATGTTTTCACGTACTATTTCAATAATGTAATGATTGTGGGTTTGAAAGTTGCCAATAAAAATGTTTAATTTTATTAATTTGTCTGTTTCCTTTGATTGTGAAGTGTGAGACACTGCGTATCACTCAGGGATGACGGTGGTTCCGAAATATCCTGGAGGTTCCCAAATATCCTGCCGCCAGGTGCAGGATAAATGGGAATGGTTTCGAAATATCCTAGGATTTTTGGGAACCAGTTCCGATTTATCCTGGTTCCGAAATATTCTATGACACCGGCCTCAGACAACGAAAGATCTTGTCAGTATGTTAAGGGAGTAGTTTGTGTTATAGCGCCCATAAACGGCCGCTTGCACCGTATGCTTCCCGCGAAATTGAGGTTGTTTCAGAATGCTCCCAGGTCTGCTGGGGTAATAGCAAAGACTCTAGTAGAGCAACTTTGGTACCGGTAATAACATTATAGATTGTGAAATGCATAGAGCTTGCTGTTGAGTGGGGATTTGAGCTATACAAATTATGCTATTTATTATTATCTTTTCTTACTCCGTGTAGTTTATTCCTTTTCCCCTGTCAGACATGCTGTAGTCCTTATCTCTCCTCCTTCTACTTATTTTGTGTCCATTACCTTGTTGGAATCAGTGACGACAGCTGAATTGTTTGAAAGGGCCATCAAAGTGAGAAACTATAATTATAGATAAGAACCAGGAAAGACGCTCCACCAATCATACAATGACAATGATAGGAACATTATTATACACGATTTTAAATTCGAGGCAGCATCGCTGAGTTGCGAATAAAAACAATTCCAGAATTCATATTAATTATTATTGTATGATCACCCGCCAAAACAATCGAAGAATTAATAAATGATATCTCATTAATTATTATTGATGATTTTATCACTCAGCACTTTGCGCAAAACATTATTATAACTTAAACACGCAATGGGAATATTTAATTTGAAACCATATCACTAGAGTCTAATTATAGCACTGCATAATTATAAAACAAATTGTTTGTCTTCTTTGTTTTCTGTTTGTGTATTCACCTCTCTGTGACGTAGTTAAATTTACAGTTGACAAATTTTGATAAACAAACAAAACAAACAACCAGCAACCCCCCCCCCCTAAAAAAACGCGAACAAACCCCAAGCAGCCATGACAAGATTATAAGGAGCCCTCCCCCCCCCCCCCCCCCCCCATCACTTTTTGAGGTAGACTAAAGGACCTTAATATAGGCACCTCCTAGCGTAGACTCTACCAATAGATCTACAATATAATAATAATATGTACATGTATTACATTGGTATAAAATTGTTAGCTTGGCTTACATAATCAGTGCTTGTGACTGCTTATATGAAAATAGCCCAAAAGGGGTGAGCAAGGTATAAAATTTATGCAGCAATGAAACCGTTTTGGGTGTTAGACACATGGATATTTATATTTCAATATAATATTATAATATGTATATATATATATATATATATATATATACAAGATATATATATATATTATACAATATTCTAGTATATATATAAGGCCTACATGTATTATTTATTATATGGGAGTATGTGACGGTGACGACCGATGTTCCCAAAACGGAAGGGATCAAACAATTATTTTTTGATTATAAAGTAGACGTTTCACCCCTACGTACATATATCAAATCTTCGGCACTTATAGATACCATAATATTAATACAGTCTGAGGATACAGTAAAACCTTCACTTCATAGTTCCTACTAAGCCTTCTAATATAGCTATTGCTTTAACCAGAATCTACTCAAGCCTGGACAGGATAATATATTATATACATTCATAATTAATATATAGATAAAGAGATATATATATATCCGTGTGCCCAACACCCAAAACTGTTTCACGGTGCTAGAAATCGTTTTATAGATCTCCAAGTTGTTTTTTTTTGTTTCTTTTTAAGGGACACCTTATTCAAAATTGAAAACAAGAAAGGTAGTGCCTTGACTCCTTAATGGGTGACGGTTAAGTTGTTGAAGATCTAAAGCTGGATCGGTCTGACAAATGGTTTAGCTGAAGGTCCACCAATTTAAACAAGCGTGGGACTTGTGTAACGTCCAAAATTCGTTTTGATGACCTATAATAGAACAGCTGTTCTAAAATAAACGTGATCCAGACTGCTTTTTAGAAGGTACAACAATGGCAGCGCAATGGCAGGACACTGTGCTAAAATTAGACCTTCTATTGATGTACCGGTACTAAAATACATTTTGTCTATACATGTATTGTGTTGATTGTTTAAGATATAATGCTTTATGTCCCATCAACTTATTCAAATTAGAGAACAAAACACTGTTGTTCACATGATAACGTCAAGCCAAAAACAAAAAACAAACCCATAATGGATGGACACTGGTATGCTTAGAACAGTTGTCAAATTCTTGCTGGCCCGTTATCTCAACAGATAACGTAGAGATCACACACGCCGTTCCTTGTCGCTCGCCAGCGACTCGCCAAGTGTAGACGGTGTGCGTTTGATAAATACACCCATGACGCACTTTTTTTTCGAAATAGTAATAGGCAGCCCATTAGGCTAATGTGTCAGTAAAACGGACTATAAAAAAGTATTTCGATTTTAGTTTCAATTGAAATCACACTTTATCTTTCGACCTCAACTAATCGAATTATGACACCCCCCCCCCCAACCTCAACGATATCGTTATTTTATCAGTTGACAATGCTGTTGACCTTGATCTAAAACATCTAAAACGCACAACAAAAGATAACACAAATTCTGACAGACGCCTGTGAAAACAAAGCGCCCGACTTCAATGTTAAGTGAATCACTTTTGGCTTGTCAGTCTGTGGGGAAACAAGCAAACGCAGAAAATAATAAGAAGCATGAGGTGTTTCGCTCTCGTTCTCACCTTGGTCATTCTGTCAGTGGACAGGAGTGACCAGAAAGACATTCTGCGCTTCCAAGCCGAGGAAAAGCCCCGGGAGGTTGAGACTCTCTTTGACTTATTGACGGGCAGAATGGGACTGGTGAGTTGTTCTTTTGTTTCCATAACAAACAATCCAGAGCGTCGTATATTTGGCGCCGCCTTTAATTCATTGAGGATACAGATGTGGAGATGAGCTGTGTTGAGTACTTGAAAGAAAAAAAGAAAGAAACATAGCTTCATTATTCAAACAGATTTTTCAATTCTGCTCTCTTTATCTGAAAGACAACATGGAACTACGCTATGTGCACAATGGAATTCGTTAATGTGTTTTGGTTCGAAATTGTACATGTACCACAAAAACCACAACAACAACAACAGCTGGTCTGACATGTGCCCACTACATCCTTGGAGAGTTAAGACAACTGGACTTGCTCTAGCTTATATTCCTACCTTTCTTTTTCGCAACAGAAAAACCTATCTCCCGTTAAATGTTCTGGTATCGAAGAGTATACCAATGGATCGATTTCTCTGATGTAGAGTTAAGCGTATTATCCTTCTTAGGTGATACAGATCAACTGTTATCGAGTATTTTGATATAACAAAGAAACAAACAACAACAACAACAACAACAACAACAACAACAACAACAACAACAACAACAACAACAACAACAACAAACCCTACCAACCCAACAAAGAATGAGAAGAAATCTAACTCGTTGTCGGGTAAAGATGTCAATTTTCATGTTTTGATGTTGGTGCTGTAAACGCCAACCGAAGCACCAAAATGTTGTTTAAATAGCAATAACTGCTAGCTTAGACTAGTATTACTCACGCCCTTACATATAATTATATAAGCCCCCCCCCTCTCTCTCTGTCTCTCCCTCTTTCTCTCCCTATATATATATATATATATATATATATATATATATATATATATATATTTATCATACCTCATATACAGGCCTATATATAAGGTCACATGAGCGTGCGGGGCCAGTCGAATAACGGACTTAATCTTGCCCACACACACAAAATGTAACTTGATACACACGCGCGCACATACTTTAATCGTACTTTATGTTCAACGAAGGAACAGAAGACACACAAGCAAGCGAGAAGTTCGAGACGAGCACAAGCTCAAATGTCTCGTTAAGAATTGTTACTGACTCAATAATGAGCGCATTCTATTCCGAGAGCATTAAGTGCAGTGAACACTTTTTCGACTTGTCAGATCATACATGTTCAAATTTAATAGGGACAGAGAAAACAACATGTCGAATTTGTAGAGATTCCAACAGGTAATCGGCAATGTATTATTTTCATGACGTCAGCAAGCTGTACTATACTTAGCCAACAGCACAATTATTCTTTCAAGAGAAAGAAAAGGCTGTTTCATCATACCTACATGAGTGGGTGGTTGGCGGGAGCTCTGGTGCGGTTTGCTTCTTCTTTCCTATCAAACATCTATCGTCCTTATCTCCCCTTCGTCTTTTTTACGTTTGTTACCCTCTTGTAACACCTCTAATCTTCTGGCGCTCATATAACCTTATGCAGTTGCGAGCGCCGTAAAACCTCTACTAAAAAATACCCATATGACATTATAATGTATTTTTTTGCTTTTTTTTTCAACATTTATAATTACAGTCTAGCACACACATATCGAACAACATATAAAATAATATAACGAAAACATTTTCGGGTCCCGAATTTTTTCATTCATACATGAATACTATTACTATTATTATTTGTATTTAAAGCAATTGCACAGCTAAATTCGTTCATTACGAAAAGATTGTCGAGCCCTGCTGGTTTCACCATGCTCGTGCTATAGACTGCAATTTGAATAAAATTCTATTAAATATTTCTCGAGCACACGCAATCGACATCACATATTTAAAAAAAAATTGCTATTCAAAGAGAAAAATATTCCGAATTTTGAGCTTAGAACATCCGAACAGTTTTAGTTGGATGACGTCATGCAAGTTCGCACTGAGACGGAAATTACGACTCTTCAATGTTCAATTATCAACAAAGAGTCGGTAATGTAATCTCTTCAGGAAGCATAAAATGAACAGAACGCTTATTCGTCTAGTAGGATCAAGCATGTACAGACTAGGGTAGGAAATACGGCAATAAAATGTGCAATGATCAAAAGGTACTCAGCAAGAACAAACAGTCGACTCTGCAAGGATTTGCTCTTCAGCTCATTGCCCCCCCCCCCCCTAGAAAAAAAAATGTATTTAAGAGGTTAAACTGTGACTCTAGTCGAAAGGAAGCATTCACTGTGGAATAACCGACTCTGCTTTGAGAAAAGGACTATGATATTTGGATTGGAGGAGTAGGGAGTTATTGTAATTATTATTATTATTAATTATTATTATTATTGTTATTATTATTATTATTATCGATGCTAAAACAAACTGTTCTCAAGTGTTTTGAGAAAGGGGGGGGGGGTATCTAAAGAGTCATTTCTATAGAAATCAGACTGAATGTCGCAGAGAAAGAAAAATAAAGATTGATTCTGTAAAATCGAATGTGTCAAAGTTGAGTTGTCGCATATCAACTCTGAAAAACGTACATGTATACATCTAATTATTACACTATAATTATGACCGGAGCCAAGGAGAGAAAACGAAGAGAATCGGAAGCGTGTGCATTGTATATTATTATTAAGGCACATTGGAGTGGGTTACAAAAGACGCAGATTCTGCTCTACTCATAGTCATGTTTTTGTATACAAAAGCAGATGAACAAACCTGTTACCAAATCTGTATAAAAAAGGAGATGTAGCGTAGACTTGAACGTTTCAATTAAGAAGTGTCTGTGCGCTTATACGTGTACATGTTAATGTACTTTTCGGCAGTGCTTGTCAACATTTTCACAGCCAGCGCTCACTTTTGCCAGCTTTAGGAGTCTGAAATCTTCTTACTGCTCACCTCCATAATTATAGTATTGTATTATAAAGTGTGACATAAAAGAACACCTGTCGCTGCCTGGATGATCCCCACCGCTCACCAACGTTACCAAATAACCTACTACTACTAGTGGGTGATACCACCGCCCTGGTTGGCAAGCACTGCCTTGAGGTTTCAACATCACTGACGATAGTGTTATAGATTTTGTTTTGCGAGGATGGCAAGGCTAACGTTTGCTGTGCTTTTCAGTTTTTATTTGGCTGTTTTTGAGGTAGGTAGGTTATGATCAGCGTTAAGAAGCAATACAATTTGAAATTTTGTTTCATCTGTATGGTGGAAGATAAGTCTCTGCTTCTATAAAGACCTTACGTAGTTCCCAATATGCCATCTAAATTTATCTAGAAATGAAAAAAAAGCAACAAAAACAAACACAAAACAAAAAGCAAACAAACAAAGCAAAAAAACAAAACAAAAAACCCCAACACACACACACACACACACACACACACACACACACACACACACACACACACACACACACACACACACACACACACACACACACAAGCCACGCAAAGCCTTTGATACAATTCACCATTTTCTCCCAAGTTTCCCCCTTCAAATTTTGATTCTGAACGTGTCTGATTTGCTTTATGTATGTCTGTAATAAAAATGGTTGTCACCCAACTCTAAATGTGAGGTATGCTGACTAAATGAGTCAATTAACGAATTTTAGCCTAGTAGTCATAGACAGGATATAATATAAGAAATGTATAGGTTGGGTTTAAACAGTGTATTGTCTGAAATGATAAAAGACATTGATGTGTCCATTTTCGGAAAACATCTCCATTCGTGGATTAATTGCGAGAAGTAACTCATTTTGTCAGCATGCTTCACCAATAAATAATGCTTTTTCTTTGTCTTTGTGAAAAAGAGTCAAAATGTTTGCAAACTTGCGATATAATTCAGTTCCTCACTTCCAGTAGGAGTACAATATAATATATAATTGCTACTAAGTAACACCACTACCCCTCCACCACCACCAACACCACTACCATTACCACTACCACTACCACCATCACCATTACCACAACCACTACAGCTACCACCAACACCATTACCAACCACCACCACCACCACCATCACCATTACCACAACCACTACCGCTACCACAACCACTACCGCCACCACCACCACGGCGTTAACAACAAAGCTAAAATACACAGATCGAACCAACTCTGACAGTCACCAGTCCAAAGCAACCACCAGTTCATATCACACGACCACTTCACACGCATGGGTTTGTTTTTTTCTTCTTCAAATTATGATGACACTGTACAAGACGTCTGTGCACCTAAAACGACCACTTGTCTCCTCGACAATTGATGACCATTTCGGCTGTATAATAAGAAACAACCCCTTACGATCTCGTGTTCCCTTCTCCTTTTGTACCTACCGAAGACAATAGGCGGTACCGGTACTTGCAAATACATGTACACTAACTGAAGAAACCAAACGACGTTAGACTTTTCGCACATTTCAATGGCCCTGCCTTTTCATCATCATCATCATCATCATCATCATCATCATCATCATCATCATCATCATCATCATCATCATCATCATCATCATCATCATCTATCACA